GTACTGGACGGGAGGACAGACGGCCTCCAGGCCTCGTGTGGAGCCACCAGGACCCCTCACTGGTTTCGGGTGTGACGAGCCCTCACGATGGCCACGCGGGCTGTGGTCGCCTCCTTCCACTGAATTCTCAGTGCGCCCTGGCCTGGGTAGCGTGGGGTGTCCCTGCTGACGCCCTCACACGGCCAGCCCAGGCCCAGGCCGGGAGGAGCAAGGCTGCACCCAATCCTGGCACCCAGGCCGGAGCCCTGCTGCTCTTCCCCGAGTCGCGCCTGCCACGGCTGCTCCAAACTGGACGTCCGGAAGCACGCTGCAGGTGGCTTGCCCAGGACGCCCAGGACGTGGGACCCCAGACGCCTGTGGCACTGCTGCCCACAAGCACAGAGCCATCACCGCCGCACCGCAAGGGCTGCAGACGATGCTCGAGGGGCAGCCACGGACAGGGCGTCGGGCCCAGGTCCCAGCATGCAGCCGGCTGTGGGGGATGATCTGGAGGGAACGGGCTTTCCCGGGGGGTCCTGCAGTGGGGCACCCTGTCTTGGCAGACCCAGTGTGGGCAAAAGGCCCCAGCACCAACTGCAGGGTTTCTGCAAGGAAAACACCGCGTGGCCAGTGCGGGCTCCACGCTTCGCTCCGGGGTCACTGGGGAAAGAATGGATGTTCTAAGACCTCATCGGAGCAGCACGGTCAGCAACGGCCTGCGGATGCACACGTGAGCCGTGGCTCTGACGTGACAGGGACCTGCTGCTCAGGGGCCTGCTCTCTGCACGACGCCGCGGGGACCAGGCCGCGCCTCAGGCTTCCCAGGGCCGGTGCCGGCGGTGAGTGAGGCTCCCACACGGATCGGTTCCGCAAGAAGCCCTGGGTCTTGCAAGTCTCCAAGGAAGATGTTTTGTCAGATATTTGTTATAGTTTTGTTTCCAGAGACCTCAAAATCATTCCAAGGTCTCTTGGCATTTTTTTGGCTTTTTTATTTAATGCCAGAGATTTTGTTAAAAAGAAAGCCCTGATCAGCTTAGATCACGAGAAAAATATTAATGTGTTTGCTGAGTTCTGAAAACACAAATTCCACAAATTTCTGTGAAAATACAAGAAAAATCCACCAGTATAAACCACTGCAATTCTATTTGAGGTCAATGGTTAGATAATAACATAAAATGCATGAGGCATTTAAATCCAATTTAATTAAAACGTGGACTAAAATATTTTAATTGTTGTTTCTAAACTAGCACATCCAAGAGACAGGCCTATAGAAGTATCACCCTCCAAAAATGTGAAAATGCCCTCAGAATGCCGAAGACAGCGGGAGCGTCGCTTTTGCCAGGGCGGCGCCGTGTGGCTCCAGCCGGTCCACACCGGGAATCCCTTAGGGACGCCGCGTGGTTATCTGTGTGGCTGGAGCGGATCTGAGGGGATGGCCCTCTGCCCTCTCCAGCACCTTCAGGGAGGAAAGTTCTCTGTCTGGGCTTTGTCGTGGAACTTGCAGTATCTATGCTCGGAGGGAAGGGGGGAAACAGCGGCACAGGCTGCGCCGTGGCAGCCACGGCTCGTGTCTGGCCACGTCAGCGCTGGGCTCGGCGACGCCTCCCCCCATTCGTGAGTGGCCACGGTTGCTTTGGACACACCGGTGGGTGAGCCCCCGCCAGCGACCCGGCCCCGGGAAGGAGCCTGCCCCCCAGTAAGGCCCCGAGCCGCGGTGATCCCGGCTCCCTGGAGCCCCTCTGTGAGGGCCGCCCCCCGGGAACAGACCCGGCCCACCCAGCTGGACGCAGAGCCTCTCGGAGCCGCCCGCCGGCCACAGCTGGAACCGCGATGCGCCACGCGTGGTCACGCGATAACCACGGCGCGTGGATGGCCGTCTCTCCTGATCCTGCCGTTAGGGTTTGCTGCCGTGGCACCCGCAGGGCCAAATGAACACGACGTTGAGTCTGTGGACCTGGTGGACTCTGCCCCAGTCCTCTCGATTTCAGCCAGACGCACTTCGGTGAGGCGAATTTCATTTCCGCCCCCTTCTCCTGCATCACGTTTTTGTGCCACGGTTTTATCATATAAATCTGGTGAAGCGGACGAGCTTTCCAGCCCAGGGAATCGCCAGGGCAGCGCCGCTGCACGCGTGGGGCGCAGACGGAAACAGGCACAAATGGACCAACGCCGACTTCACCTTCCTGTGTTAGGTTCAGATTCGCCCCGTCACCGAGGAGTCCAGCCTCGGCCCTGCCCTGCGTGGCGGGCACGGGAGGCGATGCTTGGGGGAGGCCACGCCGGAGGCTGGGGCAGGGGTCTCCGGGGCCTGGGTCCCACCCGAGAGCCAGCCGTGTCCTTGGCCTCCACTGACCAAACCCCTGGGCCGGCCTCAGAGGCTGCGGCTCTGCCGAGGCCCCACGGCCTGTCCGCAGGACGCCCAACGTGGACGGCGATTCTCTGGGGAGAGCAGGTGCTTGTCCTCAGCCCAGCTCTCGGCACCTCGGTTCTGAGGTTGGGGGTCCATCGCCCAGGCAGGCAAAGCAGCCCCAGGGGGCAGCCTAGTCCCAGGCCACAAGGAGAGTGGCTCTGCCCCTCCCCCTCTGTCCCTCCGTCCTTCTGTCCTGTGTCTGCCTGTCCCTCTGGCCCCTGTCTCTCCATCCCTGTCCCTCTGTAGCATTAATTTCACCTCCACACCTTTATGTCTCATGGTTTTTGATTCAGATAGGATACTATCACTGTAATGTGTTTATTTAAAGGATTAATCAAATACTTTTTGGGTGCCTTTTTTCTTGCAAACTCAATAGCATGTTGGCCTTACTTAGTGAATTAAAGTGACACTTTTCATTTGAAAGTAGCTGATTTCTTCCCTTTGTGTGTCCTTTTTGAAACACTCCAGGGTTTAAGAACAAGACTAATTATGTTCACACCTTTCCATCTCCCCAGGTGAGAGCGGACTGCAGAGTCCCCCATCTCCCCAGGTGAGAGCAGACTGCAGAGTCCCCATCTCCCCAGGTGAGAGCGGACTGCAGAGACCCCATCTCCCCAGGTGAGAGCGGACTGCAGAGTCCCCCATCTCCCCAGGTGAGAGCGGACTGCAGAGTCCCCATCTGCCCAGGTGAGAGCGGACTGCAGAGACCCCCATCTCCCCAGGTGAGAGCGGACTGCAGAGTCCCCATCTCCCCAGGTGAGAGCGGACTGCAGAGTCCCCCATCTCCCCAGGTGAGAGCGGACTGCAGAGTCCCCCATCTCCCCAGGTGAGAGCGGACTGCAGAGACCCCATCTCCCCAGGTGAGAGTAGACTGCAGAGACCCCATCTCCCCAGGTGAGAGCAGACTGCAGAGTCCCCCATCTCCCCAGGTGAGAGTAGACTGCAGAGACCCCATCTCCCCAGGTGAGAGCAGACTGCAGAGACCCCCATCTCCCCAGGTGAGAGTAGAGTGCAGAGTCCCCCATCTCCCCAGGTGAGAGCGGACTGCAGAGACCCCATCTCCCCAGGTGAGAGCAGACTGCAGAGTCCCCCATCTCCCCAGGTGAGAGTGGACTGCAGAGACCCCATCTCCCCAGGTGAGAGTAGACTGCAGAGACCCCATCTCCCCAGGTGAGAGCAGACTGCAGAGACCCCATCTCCCCAGGTGAGAGCGGACTGCAGAGCCCCCCACTCCAGGCCTCCATGATCTGGCTCCACCTACCTCTTCCGGCCCCTCTTTTGGCCCCTCTGACTGGGATCCTGCCCTGGGGTCTTTGTGCCTTTCTTGGCAAGAGGAAGATAACACCATGGAGTGAGGGACATTTTAGAGACACCACCTGACCACAGGGACTCTGAACCCCGCGGCACCCTTCTCTCCTGTGCCCTCAGACATAAAGTAACTCCCCAGGGACTCACTGGGAACCCAGCTGTCTACACTGCGGCTGCTGCCTGGCCTTTCTGCAGCCGTCCACGGCTGAGTGTCCCACGACACTGAGCAAGCCCCGATGATGTGGAGCCATCGGTCGTGGCAGAGCCACACGTGTGTAAGCAGGAGCGAGGGCTCGGCGCCGGGTGCCTGTGGCCACTGCGGCAAACCGGCGCACAGGGAGGGTGGTCGCTGGGCAAAGACCAGGGCTCCAGAGGGAGTTTTAAGTTGTTTGTCTGCTCAGGGCTCTGAATCTGAGCACACAGAGATTTCTTTACAATGTCAGCCGGAGGACTCTCAGGTCGGAAGACCATGGCAAAATTTTGTCTTTGTCGTCTGAAAAAGCGACTCAGGTCTGTGCTCCTGGTTTCACACTGCACCGTGAAAGGAGGCGCAAGTGTGCTCAAAACCCAGCTACGGAGGGGCTGCGACCGTGCACTCCAGTGCCTGCCGGGTGGCCGGGGTTTGCTTTGTTTAAAGGCTTTTTGCAGCTAATAGCCAGACAATGCAGCACAGCGTCTCAGAGGCTTTCTTAGTCTGTGTGGTCTTTTCTTCCAGATAACAGGAGAAAGAAGGTAAATCTCTTTCTGAAAATGACTCTATTTGTGTTTGAGACATCAGCGCATTTTATCGAGTCAAACCCTTCATTAATGTGGGAAGCATTTCAATGTTTTGCTCTAAGCACACCAGTTAATTCTAAATCTGATTCTCCAATTATGAACATTGAAACTGCAAGTGTAAAATCAGCCCCAAAAGAAAAAAAAAATCACTGAAAACTACATAGGTACCACAGTACACACCCCACTCACTAAAAAGAGAATGAGAAAGAGTTGAAAGAAACAGCAGTAAACTTTGGGGAGAATAATGTTAGAAGACTTTGGAACGAAAACTATAAAATGCTTGGGTAGATTTGTGTTGGGATGGCACGAAACATTCTAAGCAAAGAGCATTGAACAGTGAAACAGAAGACTCTGCTCTTGCAATCTGTAGAAATTACTCTTCTTTCTTACATGCTCTGGAAAAAAATTTACAAACATAATCCAAGTTTTCAAATATAAAAATTTACAAATACGAAAATAAAATACGCAGACACGCGTTTTCACGACTGATCTGCGGAGCTTTGAACACACGCCCGGGGCAGCTCACCTTTGCAGTTGCCTCTGTAAGCGATCTCCAGCTGCGGGTCTTTGCACTTGGCGCGTTGAAATTCGCAGCGGGATAGGAAGGTCCTTCCGTCAGACGCACAGAGAGGTTTCTGGGGAGAGCCCGCACAGTCCAAGCTACAGTCTTTGTCTTTATCTTGATCGACTCTCAAAAACTTGGGGGAGAAAAAAGAGAGAAGCCGTACAAATTTAAAGACACGTTCTGGGAGGCATTGGAAAACAGGCTATCTAGGGCCACTCACGGCCAGGGAATGAGACCGCGAGGAATGACGCTACTCAGTTTCCACCACGGCCAGAAACATCACGTGAGCCTCTTTGAAACTCCTAGGCCATCGTCTGTTTCCAAAGCCTCAGTAATTTGGTAATTCTCTAGGTCAACATCTGATGTCTCATACAAGACGACACTCAAAACCACTCATCTCTGGAAGGGGATGCACCCGTATTCTGTTTTGCCTTTAATGCTCTGAGTGGCAATGTTTTTCTTTTAATTTGTAAATTCATTTGCTAAATTTGCTAATTTACTTCAACGTTTATATTGTGTCATCTTTTTGGAAGGTGCAAGTGTCAGGAACGTCCCCTTGGAATCGGGAGGTGACCCTTCCCAACGTAAAGGGCAGTGCAGGATTCTGTCTACATTCTCAGAATCCATCCCTGTGCAGCTGTTGGATTCCTGTTTGCTGAATAAATGTTTGCTGAGTAAACGAGTGGCCCCTGCTGCAGAGGAAGCTTGCTTAGCTCTGTGAAAATGCCCAACCGAAGACAGCACATGGGGCGACTTCGGGCCCAGGGTCCTTGGAAGTGGCTACAGGCAGGAGGACACTCTCCCCGGGAGCCCGTGGGGTGCACGTGTCCCTAAGGGCCGTTTCGCACAGCGCCGACTGCCCCAGGCTTCTGCTCTCGACCCATCAAAGTCAAGGGGAGAAGAAGAGGCCCTGTGGGGAGGGCCACCCTCAGGCACCACGGCCCCCAGGGCCCGTCTGGGTCCGAAGAGCCAGAAGGGCAGGTGTGGCTGACCCCAGGCAAACGTGTTCCTGTGGGAGCTCGGCAGGGGCCACTGCCCGGCTGCCTGGGGAAGGCGGGGCCCAAGAGGCAGGTGGGCAGGTGGGCGGCACCCGGGGTCCGGGGCCTCCACGCCAGACGCTGCTCCAGGACAAAGGCGACAGCCAATTTTCAAACATGTGCAGTTCCACGTGGCGTGCTCTCATTTTCCCTACGAATAGGTTCACCTGCGAAAATGAGCCGTGCTTGATTTAGCTGAGAGTCAAGTGAAAACAGACCCTTTGCCTTTTCAGGGTCTTGCAAAAATATGTGTTTTTACTTAAAGACGGGCAGCGCGAGCACATAAGCACACGTGGTTGCAGTCTACCACCGGGGAGCTTCGATGCACATTTTCACTTCACCCAGAACGCACGCGAGAAAGAGGGAAAACAGTAGGGAGGCTCCGAACACACGACAGGCTCGGGACCAGGCGCGAGTCCCTTGGTTTGGAGCAGCTGCCCCCGTGAATGCTGCCTTCTATTTTGTTAACAAATGAAAAGACAGAATACCTAAATCCTGCTAATTTTTGTGTTTAAGAGGTAATCTATTTGCATTTCCTAAAACTCTAAGTGAGGAAATGCTGAGGACTTAGGTGAGACACTGTAATTACCACTTTCATTTAGAGACGGAGCTAAACTTTTTATTTAAAAAGAGCCTGGCATTCGGGCATTTGGAATGTGGCCACAATTCTGATAACTTAACGGTGTAGCGTTAACAACGGAAGTTTTCTTTCTCAGAAATAAGACAACACACACTTTGTGCACAGGCCTCTCCCCTTTTAACAGCAGTGAAGTTTCAAGAAGACAGTGCTGGGAGAAAGTAAGCTTGTAACTCAGTTGTGTTCATTAATAAACAGAGCCCATTAAAGAAAAGTAAACATTCATTCTCTGAAGACTTTACTATTTGCTAAAAGAACTCCTTTGAGGGTCTTCAAACCAATTCAAGATCAAAGGCGCTTTGCCAAATTTAGAATGCGACCAATTAGACTTTGAGCAACTTTATTTAAAAAAAAAAAAAAACCCTGAGGAACTCAGGTGTTTCCCATTTGCTTTTATTTCCACAAAGCAGCGCTATTTGCACAGGTGCAAGGTGAGGGGTGGAAGGAAGAGTGAGGAGCACAGGAAGTGTCTTTGTGGACGCCAAGCAGCTCACGCGTCGGAAAGTCAGGAGATCAAACAATGGATCAAAGACGTGGCCCGTGTTTTTCTTCAGAAATTCCTGGCTTTAAGCCAGAAGGAAAAGTTTAAAACAAAATCAAACCATTTAAGAAATGGGTTAAAACACTCTTCAATCTTAACATGGATGGATTTTCCCACTGCGATATTGATGAAAAGCTCTTTTTTTCACTGATTATGATATGGGACATCATATGGTGTGAGGCCACATGAAGGAAATTTCAGCTCTGAAATAACAATTCTGTAGCTGTAAGATTTGAAAGAGCAGGCGCTTCTCAAGGTTGGGCCCCAGGCACGTGAAGATAGACAGCTTCCCAGAACGTCTGCTGTCTCCAGGGAGGAGGTGTACACCAAGGAGTAGGATGGAAGGTTAGGGTTGGGGCTGGGGTTAGGGTTGGAGGTGGCAGCCTGGCCTTGGCGAGGGACCAGATCTGGAAGGCGAGAGGGGTTGGTCAAAAGAGTGACCAGGAACACCTGGCAGATGGCTACAAAGTCAGGCCTGTTTTAAAGAGCGGTTTCTCCATTTCAAAGCCTGGACTTCCTCAGGTTTCAGGAAAGAGTGTCACACTCTTTCACTAGAAGAGAGACTCCTAAGTCTACGGCGCCAGTGTGAAAATTATTTTCAGAGCCAGTCGTCCGAAGCTCGAATGTTAAAGTGAAGCACAATTTGCCGCAGGATGTTTTCTCCCAGAGAGACTGCCGTTGCATTCATTCACTTGTTCATGCATTCATTCATTCATTTGACGGAAGTAATTTTGCCACTTTGTATCTTAAAAACACCTTACTTCACGTTTTCATTGTCTTTGCCTCCTTTCGCTCCTATCTTTAATTAAGAATAAAGCCGCATCTTTCCAAGTTAGCTCAAAAGTCAGATCCAGCTTGAAGCGAAGTTATTAAATCATTAAGTGGCTACTTTCTGTAAAGGGCATGTTGTCCAACTGCAGGAAGGTGGAATTCAGAGGGGCCCGTGCCCTAGCGGGGCTTGAACTCTGGGGTGCAGAGAGGACAGCGGGAAACGACCACCATATGGCAGAAGGCGGAGCACAAGTGCCCGCGCAGCCTGGGGTGGGGCATCCCGTCTGACCTGGAGGATCACGACGTCTCCTGAAAGATCATCTGAGAACGAGAACAGACGTGAGACCCAACCCAGGAGACAAATCCACAGATGCGACCAACACAGGTGATGCCGGAGGACAAACTCCTCGCAGAATCTGACCCATTTTTTAGTCCGGTTTCCAATGCCTTCTTATGAACCAGACCAGATCACGACATCCGTAGGCTCCGACCGAAGGCCGGCTCAGTCGGACTCTGCCACCTCTGGTTTGTGCGGGACACTTAGCGGCCATTGCAGCCACTGGCACAACAGTGACATCCTTTGGCTCTAAAGCGATAGACTGAGATTTAATCTTCATTCTGCGTTTTCCACTTCCACAGTCTCTCTGATTGGCTCATGTGCATGGCGGGCGTGACGATGCTCTCCACCCGCCTTTGCGGTAGCTGTGTAATGAAACGATGAGCCTGACAACACGGACAAGGCCGGAGAAGGCGGCCGTGGCGCAGGGAAGGTGCGGGCTCCAGCGCTGGCAGAGCCCTCCTGACGGTCGCCACGGGGGCGTGGACATCGCGGGCATCGTGCCGGGAGGAAGGGTTTGGCGATGCCGGTTTCATAGCGAGTGCTGTGAAATGGGAGGGTCACGGCCCGGGGAAGCGGCTGGAGCAGTGAGACACTCGCAATGGGCCCCGACAGCCCGCCCGCTCTGAGCGCCGGGTGTCTGCCGTGCACCTGCCCACGGCCGAGAATTTGAGTTCTGTGGGACGAGCTCGAGGAGGCGCCCGTTGGGGATCGTTTTCACGGAGAAAATTGGGAGCAAGAAAAGAAAGGGAGTGAGATTAGAGCTTCAGGAAGAGGAAGCAGGTTTCTCAGGGAAGCTTCAGACAGAGGAAGGAAAACCCAGGCGCTGGAGGGCAGCCCCCCAGCACCCGGCACCGGGGACCCCCTCCAGGCGAGCGGGCCAGGCCCCGCGGGCGCCCTCGCACCCCGGAGCGCGGACCCTGCAGCCCCCGACGCCGCCAGGCGGGAGATCCTGCCTCGGAAACGGGACACACAGAGGCCTTTGCTGCTTTCTCCTGGTTCCCCGTGCCGCCTTTCCGTCTGCTCTAGTGGATGGGGAACTTTTACAAGAGCGTTTACAGACTCCTTACCGGCCATGGCCCCTGAGCCAACCGTCCTGCCACCCTTTGGTCCCTGCTCCCCCTCACCTTCGCGGGGATCCCCGGCCCCCGACCGCGGCCAGGGCGGCTCGCCTCTCGTCTCCAAAACGCTCGTCTGCGTTCGTTTCCTACGCGGCCTGCACACCCAGCGCGTCTCGACGACGACAGCAGACGTTTCTGCGACTTGTCTTTAATGTCTGGAGATAACTCTCGGGTTATTAATTGTTCCAGATTTGTGTTTGTTTGAGGTTCGGTAGGCACTTTGTAATTCTAAAATTCTTCTAATGAGATACCGTTATGGACGGTGGTACCTCAAGGCAAGAATTATCTCTAGCAACAAAAACTGCCTTTCTCAACGTCTGGTTGTTGTTCTCGCAGATCAGAGCCGACCTGCCTGCAGGTACAAGCACCCCAAACCTTGGTCACCTGGAAGTGTATACAGCAGGCTGGCTCAGCCACAATGAAGCACCAGTTTCTTACTCGAGATCACGGCCGAGTCCAGGAAGGGGCAGGCGAATGCTAACAGTTGACACGTTTCCTCGGCTGCGGCTTTGTTGACAGCGCGTGTTTGGGATACGGAGGAACGCTACGGTGGACACTTGACACCCGCACCAGAGCCCTCGGGCGGGTGACTCGAGGTGGAGATGCGTCCACTTGCCTCGGTGTCCTTGGTGTCCCAGCACAGGCTGTGGCTGCTTTGGGGCCCATGAGCGGTTCTTGCCTAAAGAGCTCTGTTGGTGCGACCCGTGGGGGTGCGAGGGAGCCCGGCCCTGGAGGACAGCAGCGGGGAAGCCCCGTGTCCCCAACACGGCCACCGTCCCTTCCATCTGACGGAGTCAGCAGGAGACTCGCTCAGTGCACACGGGAAACAGTTGTACCGCCAAGGGTGTGCTCCTCTTCCCCCTCCGGTCTCCTGTCCTCCCACCCCTGCTCCCTCCTCTGGCTCAGCCCCTCAGATCTCATCTCAGGGGACTGTTTCCCCCCGGCCGGGACCCTGCGCACAGCTAACACGGGCCAGGCGTGTTCTGGAAACCTGCTGCACGCATTCTCTCCTCTGACCTAGCCACCCCTGCGTCCAACGCCGCCATTGCCTGCGTCACGGCGGGACAGGTGGAAGCAGAGCGAGGGACTGACCTGCCCGTCCGTGGGCTCGCGGGCCGGTGCCAGGCCTGTGCCGCCGTGCCGCTGATTACACACTGAACGTGCAGCACCCCAAGGGCACCAAGCAGAAAATTGTATCATAACTTGATACACTGTAAAAATATTATTCCCGTGAAAAATATAAACAATGAAAATGCATGAACCTTTTGTCCATGTATAGAAGAAAATTAAACTTTGGGAGGTCCACGCACTTGGAATTCTCCGCTGTGACTGTCTTGGACAAAGCCAGCCCTGACCTCCACCCTGCGGGTTAGCTGCCATCACTGCGCCTTTGAGGCGTGCTCCCTATGCCAGCCCCGCTCCCAGGACGCTGGGCCAAAACACGCAAAAGTCAGACGAACTCCGACACTTGCTGACATCAAAAACAAACATTCTACCCGGAGAGCGATTACTTGGTGACAAGATTACAGGGGGTAATAAGAAGTGTCTAAAAACGAAAGTATGAACAGCTTCAGACGTAAATACCAGCAGCGCTGGCTGGACACACCTCCTGACACCGCCCTGGCGGGGACCGTGGGAGCCAGAGTGCGGCCCCGCGCCCGGCTGCAGATCACCCGTCTCCACCCCAGAGTCCGACCCGGTGGGGCTCCGTGGAACCCAGGCTTCCCGTGCGATGTCCAGGGCGCTGGACGCGGGGGAGACGTGTGTGCTCGGGGGTGTGGGCAGACCGTGTCGCTGAGCACTCGGCCACGCAACAAGGAGGACGTGAGAGAAAGCTGGGTCTACGTCTGCAACGACAGCCCCACACGACCCCAGACACCTGATTTGTGTCATTCAAAAAATAGCTCCATTCTTATGAAAATACGTAATTTATAAATTCCCCAATAGCGCCAACATTTTCTGCAGCAGCCAAGCTGACTGACGGACAGCCACCGCGCCCTTTGGCTTCGCGTTCCCTGGACCGCCACACGCGTGGGTTGGGGAAACGGCATTCGCAAAGCCGTCCAGCCAGGGCTTCTTTCGCAAGGCCCCGCTCGTTTCACGGCATTTAGGGCAAATTGTACTAAAATACACTCAGCGAAGACGAGAGGAACCTGGAAAGTGCAGAAATGAAGCCACAAGCTGAGACTCCAGATCTCGTTTCTCAGCCACACCTCCGCGGAGGCTGCGTGTTACACGGTGGAATCACTTCCCGCGAGAGGCGTAGCCGAAGGATTGAAGATGGGAATGGAAGGACGGGTCCGTGCTGCAAACACTGTCCAAGGCGTGGCTCGGTGGGGCCCCCCGTCTCCTTCTCAAGCAGGTGACCAGAGATTGCTCCCCCGCGCGAGGCCTGCGAGACCCCAGGAGGCTCACGCACGGTGACAGCCACTGTTGTTTTCATAAGCGTTAGGATGAATGCGTTCTGGAAGGGTCAGGGTCTCGGATCTCTGAACACGGCTGGGTGGCGTCCACGTCTCCGTCCAAACGCAGGGACACCCCCACACTGCTCTAAACACCACCTGCATCCCCACGTCACGCCCCTCTCCCTAGTTCTGCCCGGGCTCCCTTATCTCGCCTTCCTGAGGTCAAACGTGCCCCAGGAAAGAGTTCAAAACCAAGGCTGTCTGGCTGCCAATGAGGGGTTATGACCGTAATGTCCCGAAAACCCGGTGGGTCCTGGTCCCATCCGCTTAGGGCTTTCTGACAAGACCAGCGCAGAGCTCGTGTGGCCCTCGGAGATCACCCCGCAGGTCCGAGAGGCCTTGGGACCCACATCTTGGCCTCCACCCAACCGCGGCGCCTGACCCAGAGGGGCCGGGACGTCCATCCACACTTGTGCAGCCTCCACCGCGAAAGGCAGATTTGCCGCCAACCCGCCGTAGCCCGTCCCGTTCTAAAGGTTTTCATCTTATCCTCACTTGGAAAACAGCTCATCCCCTCTCGCTTGGGCCACAGGTCAGGACAGATTCTTGGAATTTTTGACAGTCTTTGTGTACATTAAGAGATAGCCGGGCACAGACTCCTCCGGGAGAGCTCTCCCCACAGTTCCCTGAAACGCCGCGCCCGTCACCACTCAGAGCTGTCACCGCCGCTGAAACGCTCAAGCACCATCTCCGCGATAGGTGTGGTGCTCTGGGCCGGCCGCTGCTGCGGTCCTTCGCCTGACGCCTCGCGGCCCTCCGCCTGGTGCTGACAGAGGAGGAAAACCACCTCGTGGAAGGAGCTGCTCTTGGCGGCACTCGAGGGCTGGGTCCGGCACGCAGGACTGGCCCCATCTGCTGTTCAGCCGCGCATTTCCGGAGGAAAGAGTCAGAGCTCTGGAAGCAAAACCCAGCGGTGTGTGCGGGACCAGCGGCAAGGCCATCCTGGGCCAGCGTCCGACGACATCAGAGCGGGAGCTCTGCAGGAAATCACATGCACCGGGGCAGCGTCCCCAGGGCCACCCTGGCCAGCACGGCGATCCACAGGCTGCCAGTCAGACAGGAGGGGAAAGCCCTGCCTGGCGGAGAGCACGTGTGAGGCCACAGCACGTTGTACCTCTGGAAGGGGACGCACTCGTCCTCCTCAAGGCTGGCCCCCAGCCTCTGCCCCAGCCCGGACTTGCAGAAGGAGGTCGTGGGAGGACAGGCACTCTGCTGCCACCAAAAAGGCGACTGTGCCGTGGGTGGCACACGTGAGGGAGAGCGCGCACACCTGCCCACAACACGCCCCGGCTGACTCGCACTGGAGCTGGGGTAGCGGGACCACCCCGCCCTGGCCGCGGCCAGGATCTCCCTCCACTCTGAGGCTGGGAGCAAAGCCACGCCCGTCCCGCTCAGGGGTTCCCGCCATCCTTCAGTCCTGCGGTGCCGGGATGGGGCTGCTCCAGCCTGGGCTCCCTGACTTTTGGGAAAGAGTTGCAAAACACTAATATGAGGAAAACCACATTTCTCAAAGTCCTGGGGTTCCGTGCCCCAGGAAATCAGTTGAATTCTAAGCAGAGGAAGTGAAAGACGCATTGCCTCCTGGAATATGGGAGCCAGCCCCCATGTGCGTATAGAGCCACCCCCATCTCCTAGATGGTGACAATGTGTCGAAGAAACGTGCTCTGCGGGCTCATCTATCCAGAAAGACCTTGGTGGGCTCTTGAATCCTAGCAAAGTGCTTCAACTAAGGTCCAGAAAAATGCTACCTAGGTGTTAAAATCGGAAGACCAGGAGAGGGGAAAAGAGAGGAGACCCATCCACTCTTCTCGTTAATACTCATCTGCTAATCGGTGTGCGTTTTCTGTAGGTGTCCGCCGAGACCTAGGACGGGATCGGCACATGCCCGCCCCGCCCGCCCAGCGGCCCGGTTCCAGACCAGGCACTTTCCACTTCGTGAAGAAAACGTCCACTCCGGCGGCTTGAAAGGAAAACTGCTCCGAACAACATCTGGTATAACCATGTAACAAACTCGCCACGATTTGGACCACTATGCCTGGAATAATGTCAAACCGAGGAAACAATGAGGTTTATGATGGAAACAGAGAGAAAGCTTTAATTCAGGGTAGCTCCAAGGACACCAGAATGATCCCACGCTCATGAAATTTAACGTGGCTGAGCCCGCGGTGTCTTCAGGGCAAAACTTATGAGAAGTGGCTACGGCGTAGAATCGGATTTTGGTTTTTGAAGCGCCACTGCTTTGGAAGTTTTTGTCAAAAACATTGACTCTCAAGAATTGATTAAAATAACAACAACGGTAAAGACAGTTAAAAATTAGATGTGTCTGAGGAAATAAATTCTGAGAAAAACAGATTTTTTCTTAGCTGTCATTTAATTGGGAAAAGAAAAACTAGGATTTATACGCTTTTGTGAAGAATAATGTCCACACTGTCAACTTGTTTGTCTAAATCTAATTTTGACTAACTAGGATTCAATATCCCCAAAATTTTGG